GCACACACACATGCGCACACACACACACACACACACACACACACACACACACACACACACACACACACACACACACACACACACACACACACATCAGCTCGCACGCGCTCACACACACACCCTGTTGATGCAGTCAACACGCACTATGTGTACCTGCCGATCCCGGTGGTGATCCAAGCACCGCGCAAGATTGACCCCCGCGGCAAGGCCTGGAACAGGCTGCGCGCCAGCATAGGCCAGGTGGGCGGTACCAGGCGTGTGGCCAGGTGCACTGGAGCGGGGCGGGCGCCCCGAGGGGTACTTAATTGTCCGGGCATCAGCTGTGATAGTTGAGCGTGCGGGCGCGCCTGCCTTGACTTTTTTGCGACGATATGCACAAAGCGTCCTGCGTGGTTCGCCATCGCTACCCCTGATGATTCAAGGGCCCTGCTACCCCCAAACCGCTGCCCCCACCGCCAGCCCAACTTCGTGTGATCCCCTCGAGCTGCAGCACCGCCACTGCTTGAGCAGTGCTCGTCCCATTGTTGACTGCGCTTCTGGCGGTGACGGTGCATGATGTCACCCAGCCGCTGGCCAGCGGGCGGCTGTGGGCAGCCTCGCAGGAGCCCTGCAATCAGGGCCTCGCGGGCACTCTTAATTCGCAACTGGGGGCTTGAGAGAGTACGCAGGGGCAGCGGCGTGAATCTGGGATGGCGGGCTGCCGCGGACGCGCCAGCTGCGGCTAGCCTCTGTCGGGGCACGCGAGACAGGGCTGGGCAGGCCCAACAAGGGTGATTGTTACGACGGCCCCATCGCTTCATGCATCGACGGACATAGCGGCGCTGATTTTCGCATTCACACGCTATTCCTGCATCTGCATTGCATCGCGCGCCCTACCTGCAGCATGTATCTTTCTTGACGTTTGCGCAGAATAGGATTGTCGCCGCTAGGGTCTGCTGCGCTTCTTGTCCTGCTGTCAGCAAATCTCGTATACTTTTAGCGTCGTGCATGTGAATTTGGTGATTAGCATTGGCCGCACTTCACCCACCCACCCTCAACAGCAAGGCCACCCTATGGTCGCGCCCGATGCATTTGCACGATGCGGCCCCTTCCGATCGTGTTACGACTGGCAACATGCATGCCAGCAGCACTGCAGGCACAAGTGTACCATACTGCCAAATAGTGCTGTTGCAAGCTGCTAGGTGGCGCGGTTTACTTATTAGTGTTGTGTTTGAAACATGCAGGATATCATGGAGCAGACGGTTGGGTTGCATTGCTGCAAGGACCGGCAAACTTGCATGCAAGGACACAGCACCGCCTCAACCATGAAAGCAGGCGGTTGAGACATTGCAAAAGCAAAAGCCAACTGAGGCCTCGTCTATGGCGAACAGCGGCCCGCACACGAGGCCACGCGATACAGCGCTGGGCCGCGTGTTGGATGCCCCTTGCACGCGCCCATGTGCGCCTAGTCACCCGTGTTGGCCGGTGCCTCCAAGGTTGCTACCAAGTGTCGCCCTTCTCCTGCGCTTCCAAAGTGTACGCGTCAATCATATCAAGCCACGTGCGGTAGTCACTTGCAGCAGTCGAACCCGGCACGCGGTCGTCGTAGTGCACCATCGATTGGCTGCACCCCACGGTCATGTATGCGCTGCGCAGGCGCGGGAAAACCGTCCTCTGCGCCAGATGCGTGAGCCATGAATCGGGCTTGCCAGGAGCGTCTGGCACGTTCACTGACAAAGCCTCCAGGCGCGCATTTGAACATTCCTTTAATTGTGACCAGCGCGTCATCAGCACCGGGTGCGGCAAATCGCAGCATACGCGATCACCATCATCAAAGTGCAAGGCGCAGCAAAGCAGGCTGGGAAGGCGTGGCAGCAGCTGGGCGGCGTCGATGGGCTCGAGGGATGAGGAGATGCCCCGATAGAGGAAGCTCACGCGGTTTGCGTCTTCCTCAGAGTATCCTTCGTGCCAGGTTTCAACTCTCCTCACCAGCGTCCCGGCAATACTCGTGAGAGCGGTGAGCTGCGGTTTGGCCACAACAGCATTGCAGTACACAGTCAGCGGCGTGGATTAGCGTAGCGCGGCCGTGGTTGAAATTGCATATGGATACAAGCTGTGGAAACCATGCGAGTGAAATCGTGTGCAGCAACTCGGTGCACATCGCAAAAGATCCAAGCCAAAAATGCAACTAGTTGCTGCCCCATCCAACAATCGAAAGCCATTCAAACGCCCCTGCCCCACCTGGCAGAGGGTGTCACACAGAGTCACACGGATTGGTTCCGCCAGCTGGACGTCCCTGGGGTGGAGGCGGAGCAGCTCGAGGGTCTCCAGGGCGGTGCATGCGGCCACCGCGCGCATCCATGAGGGACCGCAGGTCACATTGAAGTAGTCCTCAGTTCCGTTGGCGAGGTGCAGGCGGTGCAGGCTCGGCGGCAGCCAGTCATCGCTGAAGTCAAGACGGGGGCGCGCAAGACGAGTGGCAAGCTGTGAGGTTTCGACGTTGCAAATTGGCCGGTGCCTGAGCTGCTCATGCGGTGTTGCTGCTGCCCACACCTATGCGGTGTTGCCGCCGCACACACCTGTTGGCAATGAAGCTGAGGTGGCGCGTGCAGCATGCATGGCGCTCATCACTGCCATTCCGTACAGCGATCCCGGGCAGTCGCTCAGAAGGGCCACCCACCAATTGTCATCGATGCAGGCGTTGGCCATCACGAGGCTGGTGAGCGCAGTCAGCCGGCCCAGCGGCGTCAGCAGCTGTGGGTGTTTGCTGATGATGCTGTCGTCGAACACGAGTGTCAGGGACGCGAGGCGTGAAAACCCATGGCTTCCGGCTGCGCACGTGCCCAGGCAAGACGCCATCAGAGCGCCCATGTTGGAATCGATGACCCTGGCATGCAGCCGCTGGAGGTTGAGGCAGTGCCTGCGTGCATGCATGCATGCAGGGAGCAGCGCGCGTCCCCCAAGACCGGATGTGTGGGCACCAGCATGCAGTTGGGGCACCGGCAAGGAACACACCAGCAGGGCGTTGCATGGCGTTGACGACCCCGTTGCATGCGCAGGGAGGCATGGGACAGCAGCCGGCTTCGTGCATGCGTTTCCGCGAATCGCCAGAGCAAAGTCGACTCCCTGCTGCCATGGCCGCCTGGAATATCACCACCTTGCTGCTCTGCCTGATGGTGCCACACTGCGGGGCATGCCTGCGCGCATGCGCCGCCTCCCTGCCCAGAGCCCACCCTGGACTCACTTCGATACGCTCGTGATAAGGTCCACAGTTGCGGCGGCGTGCTGCGCACGCAGGCCCCCGTACCACGCGGCATGGGGGTACGGGTGCCGGACCTGCTTGATGCCGCCCAGCCGCAGGGCTTCGACATGCAGCCAAAGGCTGCAGTTTGAAGCGAAATGGTGCATGCCCGCGGCGCCGCCACCCGTGCCGCCGTCTGCCTTGGCTTCGTCAAGCGCGAAGAACACCTCTTTTGCGGTGCCGCAGACAGCAAGCCGCAGCTGGCGGCACGTCGCGCGCAGCGCGTTGCGATCTTTCGGCTCTTCTAGGCTGCCGGCGATGTGCCCCAACAGCGGTGAAGGCAGCTCCGCCAAGCTGCGCAGCTGCGGCAGCGCCTGACGCTTCCGGCGCTGCTTAGGAGGCATGCCTGGTGACTTTGAAGTGAGCTGGGCCTTGAGGGCCACCGAGCGACAGTTTGCTGGCGAGTTTTGACGACAGCTTCAATTTCGAAAGCGCGCGTGCGATCTGCGATCTCTACAGTATGATACGGTATGATAACCTAGTTGCTCTGCAAGCTGTACTTTCAGTGACATTGACGGTATGGAATAAGTTTTGATTTGCAACAGCTCTTGTGAGAGCTTTGAGCTGGGGAAAATGCCGTTGTGATGTACTGTAGCTGAGTAGGCGCTGGCCGCTGTCAGCCGCTGCCTGCCAAGCGCCCTACTCTGCTGCTGTGTCATTCAGTCATCCCTACTGATGGACACACGAAGCGCGGACCACTGCTTCTGTGACTTCTTATGAACAAGTTTTCCCTCTCTTGTATGTGTTCTTCCTGTCTCTGCATGTCATATACCGTGGTACTGTATCACGGTGGCACACATCTGGCAGCACACGGGTTCCGCTATCAATGAATGCCAGGCACGACTCTCACACCTAGCAGTCTCAAAGGTCCGGCTGGGAGTATTGGGTAGTCAGTCTTGTCACCTGTTTGCGATGTTACTCATCATCTGTCAATCCGATCGTAAACCTGATACTGCGAAATGCCTCCAGGGCAGCCCAGGCCAGGCTTGCCGTCCCATTAAAGACGCATGTCGGCTGGACAGCAAAGCTGTAACTGTTGCAGCCTTGATGGATATTGTTAAGTTCCTGTCCAGATCTCCGCGCGAAGCCGCTCCTTGCGGGTCTACTGCCATGTCAGCAACGTCTCCATGAGTGCGTATGCCTCTGCAATCACGCACGCAATACAGTTATCCAACGGTTAATCCTTTCTATGAATCAAGCGGCGTGTTATGATTCCAGCACTTGTGATAGGGCTGTCTGCCATTCTGGCCAGGGAGAGCAAATGGCAGCCAGCTCGCATTGGCGCCAGCCATGCGTGCACGCGGTGACCTGCGTGTGGGGACTCTGCGCAAGCCATTTCCCGGTGAGTAGTGTTAGGGAAATGTTATTTTTCTGCACGCATTTTTCTCTCGCTTTCAATCGGCTCACCCGCATTTCCAGCGGTTGTCACAGCCTGCCGTCGGTGTAAAGAAACCGCAAGGACATTTCGCCTGATCAGAAGGGACTTTGCGTATGATGCATTAAGATATAGACGAGCCTCGCAGCGCGCTGGTGGAGAGCATTGTGGCAGTGGCCTGCGGCTGTGGGCGGCTTGGCGCTCACACCGCACAGCTGGCCCAGCTGAGCTGGGTTGGGGCGAGCGTGCCGCGGCGTGACGGAGACAGCCACAACTCAAGTTCAGCCAGAACTCAGATATGGACCAGCGCGCGAGCACTGCTGCAAAGCCTTTCAGGGCGAGCGGTGGCCGCGGGCCCGGTGCTTGTCCAAGCGAGCAGCGCCCGCTGAAGAATACGCAGCGCAGCAGCTGGTGAGCAGGCCGCGTCCGGCGCAACTGTGCAAGTCCCTCCTCTTGTGCGTGCATTTGTCATTCGAGAAGGCCACTCTGCAACTATCATGCCTCGCATCGCGCACCACGCGCTAGTCGTCGGCACCGCCTGCACCCTGGCCATGTCCGACTCAGCGCCGCCCAGCGCTCACAGGTCGTCACTACGCAGGGCGGGGCCTGCATGCCCCAGCTTGACCAGGCAGGCTTTGCTGGGAAGGAGCTGCCGCCGCATGCAGCTGCCAGCGGCGCTGCCGTTGTTTGATGTGAGCATCTTCGGCCCGACGCTGTTGTTGCTGCTTGCTTGGATTGGTCGGGGACGTACAGCGTGGACGCATCGCAACGCATTACTGCGACACGATGCCTACAAGAGCGCACATACGCGCAACCACGTGCGCAAGTGCGAGCACTAATGCTGAAATAAGCATGCGTTTGTCGAATTATGTGCATTAACACAGGCGCTTGCACGCTTGTGCCCACATACAGACGCACTCACAGACACCACAGCACACGCGCGCGCACACTCACAAACACACACACACGCACGCACACACACGCACGCATGTACACATACATACACGCATATAAAACCTCTACAGATGTCTGTGGCTGTCATCGACTCACTCAATCTTATGAAGGCATCATTCGAGGAGGAGGCGGTGCTGACATCAGCACTGGCGGTGCCGGCCCACCAGGCCCTGCAGTGCCGGATTGAGACCTACGGCAACCCCTTCAAGTGCGCTCCTAGCAAGCTGTTTTGCTCCAAGGGGTCATTGCTGCTGCTGTATCACATCTATGCAGCCAACACGAGGTTTTCTGCAATTTGCGCTTCCCCAACAGCATGAGCAGGCGGCATGCGCTATGCCAGCGCAGCTTCTGTAGCCCGGCAGCTCCTCAGAAATGCTGGCGATTTCCATGCCGTCATTTCTGGTGCCGCTCTGCTTTGCAGGGCGCCACGGCTGCACGAGGTCCTCCATGGCACACGTACCCTGACAGAGGCCGACCACCGCTTTATCGCCTGCCTGGCCGCACCCCCGGATTTCGACCCCGCCGCTGGCAGCGCCGGCCGGCAGGCCAGCATGAGCCGCATGCTCAGCTTGGGCGCGCTGCAGCGTGGTGCGTCGCTGGCCGGCGGCGGCGGCGGCGGCGGCGGCAGCTCGGGTGGTGCCGCGGGCGCGCAGCAGCAGCCGGGGGCGGGTCTCAGGGGGCGCCACGGGGACCTGGGCAGATCACCAAGCGTGAGTGCGGAGGACCAGGAGCAGTTCAGCCGAAGGAGAGCTGGCGTCAGGTCCAGCGGTGGCGGCAGCGGCAGGCTGACGGACGGCGGCGCGTCAGACGCCTGGGGCGAGGCAGAGGGTGCAGGTACGGGCGCCGCGCCTGCAGCGGTCATGGTGTCAGCAGCGGTTGCAGCAGAGGTTGCCGTTCAAAACCAACAGCAGCATGGAGAGCACCAGCAGCATGTGCAGCAGGAGCAGCACGCTTGGGTTTGGACGCCGCAGGGTGAGCTGCTCAACTCCTGCGGCGACGCAGTGGCAGCGCTGGTGGGCGTTGGTTACTTCCTGCTGAGTACGACGCGTTTCAACCGCAGCTTTCCTTCAGCAGTCAAGCGGCTTTCGTCTGAATTGCGCCGGCGATCAAGGAACAGCGGTGGCAGCTGCAGCAGCTTCTGGGAAAATGAGGATGGCGGCCAAGTCAGTGTGCAAGAGGAGCAAGGTGCGCATGCTTGATGTGAAAACAGGCTTGTCATGAAACATTTTGTGTCACTTGGTGCAGCAATTTTGAGCTTACCTGCAGCAAAACTGCTTGCTTGATCGATGTTGGCTGGGCAGCTGCCCATTTGTCACATTCGCTCCTGTCATCGTTCATTTTGGTTATGCAGCGTGTATAGGACTGATAAAGTGATGTGTTTTGGCATGCTGCACCTGCGTTCGTTATCATGTGCTACATGTTTGCAAGCACTGCGTGTAGCTGCTTTACACCCAGGCGCAGCAACAATGCACGCCCCCTCAAAGCAGCAAAGTGCGGATTGACTCGAAGTTTACGGAACTCTAAAGCTTCAGCAAGCCTGAATGTCTCTCTGTCCGTAGCTGCCAACCAGCTGGTTACATCGCGCAAATTCTGCAGTGTGCGTCTTGCTTTGGGAATCAGGCACCAAGCGCAGCATGCAGCAAAAGTGCAGGCAAGAGGTAGAGAGGGGGCCTGTGATGAAGGCTCGGAAAATCTCCCAGAAGTTTTGTAGGTGGCTGTGTGTGTGTTGAAGGGAAGCAAGAAGGGAGCGGGCTCGACGGCCTGTTGTTTTTGTGGAAGGACAGCAGCGCAATCGAGAGGAAGTGCAAGTATGACAGGAAAGATGGGGGTGCATGATTGGTGGGCCAAGGAATGGGTGAGGACGGATGTGGGTGCTGTAGAGGGTTGTGTAGCCAGCCAGAAGTTGGGCAGACATTGTCAACTTGCCACCGTCGCACCACGTTTGCAGATAGAGTCACGGTCGCAAAATTGCATCAAAAGCTTGCAGGTGTAGAAAGCACAGCATGTGATGTTGAACCCCGGGATGGATGGATGATGCAGCGGGCTGCTTCAGTAGTATCGCATCTCCTTGCACTCCCTCTGAGGGATGGGCGCTGAGGCCGGCAGCGGCGCAATGCCGGTCGCTCCGCTCTGGAACGCCTTTGACAGCTCCCACAGCAGCAGCTGCGCACGCGGGTTGGTGCAAGGCAAGGGGGGCCGAGGGCGAGGGTAATGACTTTGTCCCACAATTGCCTGTAAACATGTGCATAATCATGCGCAACAAAGCATGACTGCTTGCGGTGTGAATGAGTGGCATGCGTGCAACTGTTGCAAGGCGGGTTTTGCCTGCATGCTGCATGTGCCAATGCAAGAACTGCTGTGGCTTGACTCAAGACCTGAGCGCTACTCTGACTGCTGAGGGCTGTCATGCGGAGCCGTGTGTCGGCCAGCGGCACCTAACTGTTCACAGTGCTTACCTCAGTTATGCCAGGGCTGCAGTAGTGCAGGCAATCTGTGCGTGTTTGTTTGAGGGCGACGGGCTCTCATGGGCTATGATATAGTGTGCTCTCTCAAGCAAAATTGTGAAAGCAAAGCTGGGAACACGTTGTGTGGGTGCCTCAGGCTTATCGGTACATGCAACCCACCCTGTACGAGGAGCCACACCGTCCCCGCCCGCCCACAGCCGCGCCCGGCGCCCCACTCCAGATCGCACAGCCCCCCGCTGCGCCATTCCGCGTGGCCAGGCAAGCATTGGACTGCTGCAATCGTGCTCACCGACGCCGTAGCTTGCCCGCTTGCCGGGGTGGCCCCAGGGCGACGGCATTGTGAACTCGCGCGCGCCGCCGACCACAGGCATGCCGTAGCGCGGCAGCACCTCGCGCGCCGCCGTGTCGAGTGAGCCGGTGACACTGGGGTCGGGGTAGGCGAGGCAGGCGCCCGTCTTGGGGTCTTCGGGGTGGGAGGTGGGGGACTCCCTGAAGAGGACGTGCGGCCACTGGGCCCGGGTCTCCTGCAGATTGACAACGCAAAGCGCCAAGCAAGTAGGAGGCTGGTATGAGAGGGGGCGGTGCAGGGACGTCCTAGGGTCAGCGTTCCTGGCACACAGACGCGCTGATTGCCAGCGGCCTATGCCAACCATGACGGCGATGGCTGATAGAACTGGAATTGTTAAATGAGCGGGGATGCTGCGGCGCAGTCGACCCAGCTGCTGTCCATCAGGTGCAGCCGCGGCCGCCGCTGGCTGCTGCGTCTAGGCGGCTGTCTGTGTGGCAAGAATCTGCGCCAGGCCAAGAGCGCTGATAACGGACCCACGAGGTCTCCAACCCAAGCCTGCCAGGCTACGCACATTGTAATACTTCCCAAACTTCTCAAGCACCACTTTGTACATTTCGATGTTGTTGCGCGGCTTGGGCTCGACGCCGTGGGGGCCGTGCCAGGTGCCAAAGTTGACGACGAATATGTCGTCGGGTGATGCAAGCTTGTCATGCAGCAGCTGCAGCACGCCGCCATCTGCGACCTGTGGATGCGGGTCATGTTCCGACGGCCGTTTACCCACAGAAGGAAACGTAGAAATGGGGCGCGACAGCCACGCTAACGCCACCGCGGCCCCGGGGTGGGCACCAACAGAGGTGCGTGCGGCTGCGCTGCTTTGTTGTACACCTGCAGTCTTCCGCACGACAGGGTCGACCTCCTGTCGCTTTGGGCTGAGTCCACACTCATGTCTGCCGCACAAAACACATGCCGCTCTTCTTCTCACCGCACCCAAGCCCGCCCTACCCAGTGCCACCCCGCTCCACCCCACATCCCGACACCCACCCCCACCACCGCACCCCGCACCACCCACAAACCCGCCCAGCCACCCGCCCATCCTACCAGACCCAAACCCCGGCCTTCAAGCCTCCAAACTCACCTTGGGGTTGTCCATAAGCGACCATCCCTGCACGGCGTGCACCAGGCACACGCGGCCCCCGCCCGCCAGGTGGATGCACTTGGACGTCCCAGGCTTCAGGGGCAGCTTGTCCAGCTGCTTGACAAGGTCATCATCTGGGCTGGCCTGGCAGACCCTCTGGTCCTCCCAGAGGTCGAGCAGGAAGCACTGCATTGACCGGAAGAGCGCCCGCGTGTGGGAGTCCCTGCGCCCAGGGGCGCGCGGCGGCGGGGCGGGAGCGTCGAGTGGGCGCGGCAAGCACATGCGAGTATACCAGCTGATGAGGCTCGGGCGGAGCCCTCAGATCTCAGGGAAGGCGTGGTGCCAAGAAGCAAGCAGGGGCGGAAGCCTGGGGTATCCGCAACGGCGGCCGGAAACGGCTGCCTGCACTGCCAGCCTCAATTCCCCTTATGTTGACTTATTAGCGCACCCGATAAGCCACAGAGTCCTGCCACGCAGGTAGGGGTACAAATCGCAGGGCGACAGCTGCAGGGGGGCGCCGCCGTCAGCCGTGCTGGCGAGCTTCAGTGTGCCCGCCACCTGCTCTGGGGTGCAGTCTTTCGCATCCTTATCGTACGCCTTGAATCTGCAGATGTCTCTCCTGAGATTTTGTGGTTTGGAGGAAGCCCATGGGGAAGGGGAGCATGGGTTGCCAAACAGCGCATGGTGAACTTGCAGGGCGCGGGCACCGCGAGCCAATAAGTGGCAGGAGCAGGAGCGAGCCCGAGCACAGCAAGAGTATGTGTTCCCAATCCGCCCGGCGTATGTCAGCTAGATGGTCATCACTTTCCGCCCTGCACTTGTCCTTCTTGGTGCATCCGCCTGCACCCCTGCCTGCTGCCCACTCCTCCCTAGGCACTCAGACTCGGAGCCACCCACCAGTTCTTGCACCACTTGCACTCTCCGACTTTGCCGCACGCCCCGCCGCTGCTGCGCTCGCACCCTGCCGTTGCCACGCCTCCAAACAGCAGCGGCTGGCTGATGCTTGAATAACGCACAGGGCAGTCGGCGCTGCCGGCCTGGCTGCTCGCAGCGCGGAAAGCTGCTGTGCCAGGAGCGGCGCTCCAGGCCAGGAGCACTGCGGCCCAAACAGCCGCGATTGGTGGCCGCCTAGCTATCATGTTGATGTCGTGAGGACCTGATTAAGTTTGCACGAAAGATTGTATGTGGTCCCGCGTCTGGGACCCATGCGGGTGGTGGCTGGGCCACGGGCACCCGCGCTGTGCCATAGGGACACGGAGCCCCCTCGCGACGCCGGCGATGTCCAAGCAGGCAGGACAAGCTGCAGACTTTACATGGGTAGGCATTCATTGGTGCCGTACCTGAGTGATGCTCGACTGCTCCAGGCAGGTGCTGCCCAGGGGCTGAATCCGGGAAGTTTTAGCAGTAGCCGCGCAGCTGCGCAGGTGCTCGCACTGGCGACCACCTACCGTGAACGAACCTAAAATTAACTAGATGAATTATTTGATTGGACCAAGTATCAAACGGCATGCTATCAAAGAGAACAGCGACAGCGAAACCGTGCGCAGGCTGGTGACCAAATTTAACGCGACCAACAGCGCCAGGGGAGTGTGTGGGGCCTATATGCCCAGATTAAAGAGTAAGTCGCGCGTTCTGTGACTATGAGCGCGTTGCACTGCGACGCCCGACCTGCCATGTTGCCCATTGCGTACGTGGGTCGTTGGGCAACGCTGTACTCATCTCGGTGCTTGCAGGCCCATACAAGCACTCACCAGAGAGTTTTGTTGGCCGAACATGTCCTGTTGGACAATTTTTGTTTCAAGAGGCTAGGGGGTCTGGCCTTGCCCACCAACACACCCAGCCCCCCCCCCCTTGCGTCCCTCGCAACCGGTGCATGAATTGCCTAAACTTGCCGCTGACCAGGATTTGCCTGCATTGTACAGTACATGCATGGCTGATGCCATCTGTTTCTGATTTCAGAGCATTTCGTCACATTGCTCGTTGCAAACCCTGATGCGTCATCTGCCCCTGCGAGCCGCCCGGCAGTGCCTGCAGCCGACACACGCGTTTGCACTGCGTCAACGTCGAGCCGTACATGTTACATTTGCGTTGTGTTTGCCCCTCGGTCCCTGCGGCACACTGGGCAGCCCAATCTCCCACATGCCTGCAGAGTGCAGACCTTCAACTGAACCAACTTCTCCTGACCACACGCCCTTTCCATCCGCACGTGCCCTGACGGGCATCACCACGCCCCAGGGGCCCCACAACTGGCGCTGCACACGGCGCAGAGCGCCCTGCCTTCGACGGCTTCAGCCCGTTACTGACCGCAGCATGCCATTCCCCTCTACTTTATGAAATGAGATCACGAAGTTATTCAAATGAGCAAGGTTGGCTCCGCAGGACATGCGCACCCAGCCAGCATCGACAAGGAGTATCGGCCCTACATGGCAGCTGCGATACGTGAAAAGGTTGGCCCGATGTTGGATATTTTGCCAGGCCCAGCATATCGGCTGGAGCATCTGGATCTTTGCGCCGCAGCTTATTTCATCAAGTCTGCATGCAAGTAATGTATCATGCGAGTAAGATAGGAGGGCGTGGTGTCGCCTGCAAACCACGCACACAGCCGGCGCGCAGCCGGCCGGCCGGCGCTGGCCCCGCAGGCTGTGTGTTGGTGAGGAGGGGTGTTTGTAGGCGGCTAGAAGTTCCTGTAGTACCAGCCAAAAAGCATAGTACTTGTTAGATGACAACTACGTCGTCAAAATGTCTCCGTGCTTCAAGCCCGTTTGACGCCCGTCGAAGGTTCCCTTGTGACCTGGGCATCCATGAGCGTCACACTTTGCCAGTGCCCGCCAGGTGCAATCTCTGCTGCGGCCCCTCTTGATACAAAACTCCAGCTGCTCCCAGATTGTTGTCAAACGTTTATCAACATTGTGCCCAAAAACACAGCGCGTCAGCCACTAGCAAGCTCAAACACCGCTCGGTTCGGCCAGCTCATTTTTTGCCGCTAATCTTCGGCACACCTCGCCCGCACCCAGCGTTTAGAGGAGCGGCCGCTGCCATGGACACGAGCACGGTGCTCAGACGGTCTCTCAAAGGCAGCCTCGGCACCGCGGCGCCCGCCAACGCGGTGCCCCAGGGCCTCGGCGCTTCGCTCGCAGCGCCGACCCCAGGCGGCGGGCGCACGCAGCGGCTCCTGCGGCAGGCCACCCTGGCAAAGGGCTACGGCCACATGAAAAACAGCAACACACAGCGCGGACCCCAAGCACCTGCAGCGCTGCCACTGTTTGATGTGAGAACCGACACTGGAGGGTAACTTCGCTGCCCAGTTCCCGCATGCCGCGCCGTGCTCCGGCCCGTCCGGGCGTGCCCTCGCTCCGCCACGCAGGGCCTTACCACCGAACACATACTTGCGCCTGACCGCACCCGCCGCGTCTCGTGCCCCACAGGTGTCTGTTGCCGTGCTGCAGTCTTTGGATGATCTGAGGGGCACAGACACAGTGCTGGCTTCCACTCTGCACGTGCCGGCCCACCACATGCTGGCATGCCAGGCAGAGGCGTACGGCAGCCCATTCGGGTGAGCACACCTCATCCCATCCCATGCATGCCCGCACACTGATCCGCCCTCGCCAGCCGTCAGCCGCGCGCCGCCCTCGCCGCGAGCCACCAAGCAAACCAAGCGCTGCCACACAACGCGGCCGCGCCAAACCGCGCAGCCACGCGCCGGCGCCTCACCTGGGTCCCATCCCCCCTCCCCCTGCCGCGCGCGTCAGGGCGCCCGCTCTGCAGACGCTTGAGGAGGCGTCATCTTTGACAGAGGATGACAGGCAGTATGCAGCCTGCCTGGCTGCGCCGCCAGAGATGGAGGGCCCGGAGCAGCTGACCGTCCGGCACCGCCTCATACGCATGGCCTCACTGGTGGGCATGCTGGCCGGCTGGGAGTCGCTTTGTGGGGATGCGTGCGGCTGGCTGCGCTCGGGGATGTAAACTCAGGCTGCCTACAGGGGCAGCCCGGCACCGTGGAAGCACTTCAGTAGCTTTTGCGCAAGCACTCGCGTCTCCACCCCTCTTGCCCACGCCATGTCCCTGCTGCTGACCGTCCAGCTTCCACCCGCCCTCCGTCCTCAATTGCAGGTTCGCATGCAGCAGGCGCCGTCGCTCCAAACGCAGCACTCAGCATCGTTCCGCTCCGCGAGCGCGACGGCCGGCGACAGCAAATTCACCATCATAGAGCGGGAGGCCAGCACCCGGCGCCGCGCGCCGCCGACGCGGGCACGCAGCGGCGGCGAGGCGGACGACATGGATGACGCGCTCGCGCGCGGTGCGGGGTCGGTGTCGCAGCAACGCACGCAGAGCGGCAGCGATCACAAGCAGCAGCGCGACCAGCGGCGCGGCGGCAGCGTCAGCGCGGCGGTGCCGGCGGTGCCGCTGCTCGCGGCGTGCGACGACCCGGTCAGCCTGCTGGTTGGGCTCGGCGCGCTGCTCGTGCGCGGCTTCGGGGGCCCTGTCGCAGCCGCGACGCGCGCGGAGGTGGAACGGCGCGCGTGCGCGCTGCTGCGGGTGCCATCGATCACGGGCGAAGCAGGGGCGCGTGCCGCGCGGCGGGGGTCGGTGGTGGGGGACGCGCCCCTGGCCGCCGCCGCGGCTGCGGAGGCTTGAAGCCGCTGCACTCGTCTCCTTTTCACACAAATGCGGCAGGGCGCAACAGTGCTCCGCCCCGCCGCGCGCCCGACCCCAGGGGGCGCACGCGCCTGGTATACATGCAGGCGCACCGCGGGCTGGCGAGTGATGGTAGTCTTCAGTTGTTCTTCAGTTTAGTAGCCTGTTGCAGGGGCAGGCCGAGCTTCTGTGCGACCTGAGGGCTCCGTTTGTTCATTTCTGCACGTAGCAGTTTGAAAACCAACCCCGTCGACTCAAAACAAAGCACCTTCTGTGGTTTTGATCGCGGCGCTACGTCCATTCCCACACCTTTTTGAATTCCAACACAATGCAGCAGTTGGTCACCTTGGTTGTATGTATGTCAAACGTCGGCGCAGGCTCAGGGATCCTGCAGAGCATTCCGATTGCTCAACATGCGCCCTGCTGTGAGCCCGTTTGCGGCCTCACAATTGTTGTTGCTCCTTGCTTTACCAGCACAATCCTTGCCACAACACCGCGCCCTGGCCACAGCGCCTGCGCTTTTGCAGGCAGCTGCCGCGCAACTGTTGTACTAGCCCACGCTTTGTCAAGCAGCCAGCGCTCGTCCCCCCTTTGGGGACGGTAACGCGCCTTGTGCGCTGCCGGCTGTAGTACCGCGCCTTGTACGTCTGTAAACAAACCACGACAGTCTGCAGCGTTGCAGCCCGCAGTCACTTGACATATTGCTCTTGGCTCGCGTCGCCCCCGCGTGGCATGGATCGGCAGGGCGCCGCCGCAAGTGTGTCTCCTGTCGGCGCACATCATGCGACACGTGCGACTGCCCATGCTGGCAAAGATTGGCAGGCGGTGCTGGTGCATGGGCTGGTGGGGAGGTACTGGCGGTCCTCACACATGATGCTTGTATCACCCAGCTGGGCCAAGAGCCAAGTGTCAGCACCCACCCCATTGAGCCACTGCACCGCGCACCACTTACAAATCGGCTGTGTGCGAATCACATGGAGCACTGTTGTGCTGCGTTCAGGTGTGTGACACCTTGCCTCTCTGAGGTGCGAGCTGCGTTGCGTTGCAGCAACTGGCAGCATGAGCAAAGTGGAATGAGCGGTCATCCTGCAGCTACCAAGTCCCTTGGATCCAAAAGCAACATGCACAGAGCCCAAACAGATGACAACAGGAAAAGCGGCGGATTGGAAATATGATGCCATCGCCCGAGGGCCTTGCTGTCTGAAGGACCCAAAAGCTGGCGAAAGCACTGGCCGCACCACCAGGGCTCTCAGGGCGAGGGGGGGAGGGGGCGGCGGCGGGTTGCTCCTCAGGCGCGGAGGTACGAGTCCAGCTTCTCCCCAGATACCTCCTCCAGCTGCGCCAGCAGCCCCTGCGCGGCAGCCTCAACGGCGGGCTCGCCGTCCTCAACCAGCTCTGACAGGAAGGGCAGC